CAATGACCACGTCTCAAGTTATATATATATATACATTGTCGTCTAAACAACCAGTCAGGTGAAAAGATTCAACCTTCGACAAGATTAAAGCAATGAGGACACTTTTTACTTAATTTTCTCAAGCTTTCGATGAACTTTGTCATCAGGAGCTACAATAACATTTGAAAAAATAGCAACTACAAGTCCAAGACTGATTTTAAACTACTTACAACAGTATGTGAGATTGTTGCTGAATTATTTGTTAAGTTGATGGAAAGATTTAGTAGCCTGGTGAAAGCTGGAGCCATGGTAGATTCGTTAAAATTAGTAAAAAACAAACAGATATATATCAAGACCACATCACAACGGATTATTTTTTTTAATAGTGGTTGTTAAAATTTTACAAAATTACATCGTGAAAAAACGACCTGTTGCTTCACAAGATGGTGCACGAAAAAAGATCATCGGAATCAAGGAGAAAACATGACAGTTGGCAATTGGCTAAAAGAAGAATGGAAAGGACTACATATTCAATTTATGGTTGTGATAACTCAACATTTGGAGAGATATGGAACGGCTTAATTCCCTAAAATATCGCATCATTCTTGGAAACAAATAAATTGTTGATCAGTTACAAAGTGTCAAAATTAGTTTTGTGAGCATTATAATAAAAACGTGTTTGAAAATGAATTTTTCTGAAGAAGAAATTGTGTTCGTTTTGGGCGAAGCCCAAAGAAATAGTTTCTTAGAATCTCGCATTTATAAGCGACAGTACCTAATATGCGACATCCAAGGCCGGAAACATTTTCCACATTACGAGAACGTTTTGAACCAAGTGGAGTAGTGGAATATAGTAAAAAATGTATAAATAATCCAAGTGTCACCAATGAGGCGAATCAGTTAGAGGTTCTACTAAAGTTGCAGGAAAATCCTCATTTAAGTGCACGGCAAGTTGGAGCAGAAACTGATATATGCAGAACTTCTGTCCAAAGGATTATTTGCAAGCATAGGTACCATCCATATCACCTATGCTTGTATCAAGACCTTCGTCCTCAGGATGTCGCAGCTCGAATGGAGTTTAGTAGAATAATGCTAAATAAAGTGAGTGAAGACACTACTTTCCTGGATAAGGTTCTTTTTAGCGATGAGGCAACTTTTAACAGCATAGGTGTTGTCAACAGGCATAACATGCACTATTATGCGACGGAAAACCCTTACTGGGTTAGACAAATAGATTTCCAAAATAAATGGAGCTTGGATTGGTCGTGATGGGCCTATATATTCGCCTCCTAGGTCACCAGATATGACACCGATGGACTTCTTTCTATGGGGCTACGATAAGCAAGAGGTTTATAGATATCCACCATCTACCCCGGAAAATATGAAGGAAGGGATTAAGGATGCTTTTCCTAACATAAGCGAACACATGCTGAGGGATGTGCAGCGGTCATTTATCCAAAGACTACGGCTGTGTATTCAACATAGTGGAGATATTTTCGAGCAGTTTTTGTAGATTATGCCTTGAGCAGAGATAGTTGTTTGTTTATGTTGTTGTTACAGTTGTTTTTCTGTATTACGCTTGAAAATAATTTATACTGTTCTGATTGTTATTAGTTTGTACGTCAAATCTGTACTTTTAGTGGCAATATGGAACTAGCCCACTGTTTGTATTTTGTTTCCATGGATGATGTGATTCTTTTCCTTAATTTTGGAGTGTTGTTCTTTTAAAAGCTTAATAACTCAAAATCTAGTGATTTTATCTGGAACAAACCTTATATAAAAAAAATCTTATAAAAAATTGAATCCAAACTTGCACAAATATACAGGGTGATGCATTTGAAATTTTTGAGAAAAAGTACAACATCCCATAAATAGATTTTCCAAAATGCATTTGTTTATGAGTAATATTCCGTCCACACATGGATGGGCCACCCTGTATATATATATATATATATGTTAAAAATTAAAGCTTCCGCCTTGTGTTGGGTACTTCGACAAAATTTAAGCAAGGAGGACTTTATACTTTTTTAATCTCTCTAGTTGTCAATAGTCTTGGCTGCAGGAGCTGCAATTACACTGAGAAAAGTAGCAAAAATTGTTCAAAATGAATTTAAATTAACTTACAGTAGTATGTGAGGATGTTGATAAATGTTATTTACGTTAAGGATGAGGGGAAACACCCAGTAACATGGTGAAAGCTGGATACATGGTACAATAGTCAAAATTATACAAACTACACACGGGTGTATGATAAGAACAAATTAAAAACAGATTAAAAATATTTAAAACGAAAGTTAAGCATTACATCGTGAAACCACTTGATGATTGCACAAAATGGTGAGCATAGAATCATGAGTAAGATGAACCTTTTGACAGATGGCAGAAGGTTAGCAGTGTCCGTGTAGATGGAACGAAAATTCTTTTGTAAGGCGTGTGTGTGATATGTTGCCAAATCACTTCAGATGGTGTAATTTTCAAGATATGTTGGGTAAGAACTTGTCAAACCGACCAGAGGCAGTTGAGCTAACTATATTATTGATGAGATGGGCAATTGAATTATTATGAGAAAACAATTATTCAAATTTGAATGGAATGGAATTTTTTTGGTGGAATAAGCCAAAAAACAGATTCCATTTATGGTTGTGAAAAGTCAAAATTTGGAGAGATGTGTAAGTGCTCCAATTTTTCGCAGTTTAGCAAATATGAGTAAATGATGATGTCTTCATTAATATCGGAGACATTGAAATCGGCACATGTAGATAATGATTACTACATCAAAGACTCGTTTGATCTCTCTCGCCAGTTCAACAGGTTGCCAATACCACGCGATCACATTATCGCCAGTCTTGATGTGGTGTCACTATTCAGCAATATCTATCTGGATGCATGTACTAGAACTATAAATAGACACTGAGATGAGATAAGTCAACACTGCAACATATCTCTAGAATCGTTTACCAACATTATAACATTCCTCTTTCATAATAACTACTTCTCTTTCAACAACAAAATATATTCTCAGACACATGGTTGTCCTATGGGATCTGTTCTATCACCAATTTTGGCAGAATATGTTATGGATGATCTGCTTGATACTGTTATTCCGACACTACCCTATAACCTCTTCATAAAAAAATACGTAGATGACATTATTTTATGCCTCCTCTCCAGAGGTCTGGATGGTGTTGTCGAGGAATACAACAGCTATGACCTCTACATCCAATTTACCATTAAAAAAGAAGATGAGAACCTGTCTGTCCCCTTTCTTGACACAAGACTCATCCGCACCAACAACAATAGTTTATTGGTAGACTGGTACCAGAAACCCATGGCCTCAGGCCGGTTTCTCCATTTTAGGTCATACCATAAACTAAGGATTAAAATCAACTTGGTGAAACAGATGAAAACAATGGCAATTAGCATCTCAGATAATACTTTCCATACTTCAAATTTACGGAAGCTACCAAAACTGTTCATTAAAAATGGTTATCCGAAGTGTCTGATCAACAAGATTTTGTTCAGCTCTCCTCCCAGTATTTTACCAAACTCTAATGATACAAGCAAAGTCTCACAACTCCTAATAACAGAACTGATAGAATTCCCAACAACACCAATTCAAACAATACAACCGCCATCCCAAATTCCAGATCTGGTTTTGCTGCCCTGCCTTATATCAAGGAACTGACACCTAAGCTGATCAGATTATGCAGACCGTTGAACTGTCGAATTGCTTGCAAATCCGTCCTCACCATAAACTGCATTTTTTCAAAGATGAAAGACAAAGTCCCGCTGCTTGGCTTACCCAACACAGTCTACTCTATCAATTCCAACAACGGCAACCAAATATACATAGGTCAGACCTGCAGATCTCTAAAAGGAAGGATTACATCACACAAAAGTGATTCTAGCCTTCATCCCGAGAGATGTGCTCTGGCATCTCATGTCAACACAACAGGGCACTCTATGAACTACACAAGTATCAAAGTTTTTGATAAAGAAAAACACCTATCCAAACGTTTATTCCTGGAAATGTCCCACATTTTAATGAATGACAACTGTATCAATAAGAAGACAGATGTTAAGCAACTGAGCGTCATTTACTCATATTTGCTAAACTGCGAAAAATTGGAGCACTTACACATCTCTTCAAATTTTGACTTTTCCCAACCATAAATGGAATCTGTTTTTTGGTCTATTCCACCAAAAAAATTCCATTCCATTCAAATTTGAATAATTGTTTTCTCATCATAAAATAACAACTGTTAATTCAATTGCCCATCTCATCGATAATATAGTTAGTTCAACTGCCTCTGGTTGGTTTGACAAGTTCTTACCCAACACATCTTGAAAATCACACCATCTGAAGTGATTTGGCAACATATCACACGCCTTATAAAAGAATTTTCGTTCCATCTACACGGACACTGCTAACCTTCTGCCATCTGTCAAAAGGTTCATCTTACTCATGATTTTATGCCCACCATTTTGTGAAATCATCAAGTGGTTTCACGATGTAATGCTTAACTTTCGTTTTAAATATTTTTAATCTGTTTTTAATTTGTTCTTATCATACACCCGTGTGTAGTTTGTATAATTCTGACTATTGTACCATGTATCCAGATTTCACCATGTTACTGGGTGTTTCCCCTCATCCTTAACGTGAATAAAATTTACCAACATCCTCACATACTACTGTAAGTTAATTTAAATTCATTTTGAACAATTTTTACTACTTTTCTCAATGTATTTACAGCTCCTGATGATGATGGCCAAGACTATTGAAAGCTAGAGAGATTAAAAAAGTATAAAGAGTCCTCCTTGCTTAAATTTTGTCGAAGTACCCAACAAAAGGCGGAAGCTTCAATTTTTCACCTAACTGGTCTAGACGACAATGACCACGACTCAATATATATTATATATATCTTTTCGCAAATAAGACTTCTTGAAAAACAATATTGTTCACATAGGATGTTAGTAATTAATTTATCAGATTTGCAATACAAAAACTACATTATACATACCTGAAGGAAAATGATTTGGAGGATCGCAGTAGACAGCTTTTCCCCAGTTCAAATCACCAGACTCTGGTGATCGTTTCAGCACAAATTCCAGGATAAACCCGAAATTTAATTGTACGCTTTCTGATATTATGGTCCCATACTTGTTCGTCGCTTTACAATGGTATGTAGCATGGTCCAGCTTCTGTTGCGGATTGTGAATAATGAAGGTCCCTCCACTAACAGTATATCGGCTGTCTTGTAACGGATCAATTTCATGAGCAACTAATCGATCGTTTTCATAGTCCTCTTTGTACCATTTATATGTTGGTGTTGGGTATCCGCTCGCTAAGCAACTGCATATAATATATTTGTTACTATGTTATCGAAAATGTTCAATTACAATGTTATACATTTTTACTTTCTACCAATGAAGTTCTATTACAAAAATGTGTTACTTTGTTGTTTTCACTGTGACACTATTGATATCTACTTGGGCGATAAACTACTTTTAGAACTATATCAGCTGATCGTTCATCAGATGGCAGGGTAGTTCAGCAGAATGACTTTACTGGTTGCATAGATTTTTGGGTTTTACTAACCAAAAAATGTTCATTAAGGGCCGATTTTTTTATTCGTCGATCAAAACTGACCAATCAGAAGGCGTCTTTGAAGTATTGGATCTAATGAATATATATGTAGTTAATTTCTCCTAAAATGTACAATGTGTCGGGCTTGCAGCCCTTCCTGTTTAGCTACCAAAATCTAGTTTTTCCATTCTGTTCGGGGATCAAACTTTGATACGCGGATAAAAATTGACCAATTAGAACGCATTTTTCAGCAACAGACCTCTTGGGCGCAAGGCCTTCCATAGCGCGAGACCTGGAGCGGCCGCTCGACTCGCTCCACCCTAAAGACGGCCCTGGATTCGCAGATGAGAATCATCTTGTTGCTAATTGGAATCTGTCCAGAATGACCCAAAACAAGAGAAACTGATGCTTTAACTTCAAGTATGGTATTAGGAAAGTAAATGTTGCTTTGCTCCAAAACAGTTACATGGATTTCTTTAATCTTGCGAAATTTTTTTAAGAGCATTCCAAAATATAAATTATGTGAATGATCCTGTTGCAGATTTAATTGGTTCTGGGGAGTATTGTCTAACTCAACAACCATAAAATCTTTGAGAAATAAAACGCCTATGCAGTTTGGAATGAGAATCCAAGATGCAAGGAGTTTACTATTTCCAAAATTTAATGCCTGTATTGAAAATTCTATGGAAAAGTTGATCAAGATCAAACTTATGACGATTTTGCATTGAAGACTTTCATTAATGGCCTGCCATACCAAATGCAGTTATCCGTTGATGAAACCCAGAATTATTGGGACAAGCTTCACCATTCTGTACGGAAGAGGAAATTTTCATTTACTCCAGTACAAGACGTAACTAGAATCTCCAAAGTTCTTTGTACAAACCCCTGCCTAGCCTAAGTCTCCATTTTGTGGATAGTCAACCAAATACTAGTGGCAGAGTTACAAATGTTCCACAGCAAGTAGGATACATTCAAACTTATTTGCTCAAAGCTCTCAAAATTTCCTGAGACCAATGATGAACACTCTACCTGGAAATTATTCTCCTGGGCCTAATTTAATTAATTATTTTCCTAAGTATTAGTTTTCTAATTGCCCTTCCAATTCATATTTTCAAAATCAGACAGAATTTTCGAGAGTCATTGGACCAACGAATTTGGTCAAGTCCACATTTCCATCAATACTTTCAAAGGCAAGCTTTTTCAACTAATAGACCTGCATATCCACACATTACTGCTACTAATACTAATAATAGCTATTTCACAGCTATTACCAAATATCCCATTCCGGGGGAAACGAACTCGATTGACTCAAGACCAAGTCAAAAACCATCCACCCAACACATATTCGCTCACCAAACTGCAAATGAACAATCAACCATTAATGACACCACATTGATGCCACCTACTACCGATTTCATTTTCGAGGGAATCAGTACTATGCACCATAAGATACCAGTTCTTACGAGCAATGTGATCACACTAATTATGATTTTTCTTACGATATTACAAATCAGAATTTCAACCCATTACCCGACAATGACACATATATTCACCAGAGGTAAATAACCCGCCAACTGAAGAACAAATTTTTCCCAAGTGCCTCCGGATTCCAAACCAACATAATATATGTATTTGTAATATACACATATCTACTTTATATTTATATTCCTGATTTAGCTTCATATTTTTTGATTGATACCGGTAGATGCAGAAGTATGGTAGACCCCCATTTAGTTTACAAATTTTTTGAAGATTATAATTCAGGCGAAAATTTCAATATTCAAACCGCTCATGGTATGACGTTTCATAATCAAGTAGCACATATTGGTTTTCCGATAAATATGATGACATAATTGGTGCTGACCTGTTTGAACAGTTACAAGCCAATATTGATTTGAAAAATAAAACGCTAATTAGTCCTATGACTCATATTCCTATTATTTTTGAAAATGAGTCAGATTGTCCGAGGTCACCTAAAAGGTTTCAGAGTTATTCCAGTCTTATGGTGAGGCTCATGTTGTTGCTCTTGATATCACAAAAGCGTTCGATCAGCTGTGGCACGCTGCCCTCTTATGCAAAACTTCCATCCTATGGCCTCCCAGAAAAGCTTTGCAGATGTGTGCCTGACTTTCTCTCTGGCCGTCGTAATTGACGGGTTCTCCTCTTCATCCTACAACGTCAACGCGGGTATTCCCCAACTTTTTAATTCCTAACTATTATAGATTTAGTACATCAAACTAAACCTATTTCAGACTTAATGACTGAATCGACTACATATGCTCCTTCTGACCTTTTATATGGACTTAATCTTCCCAACAAGGAAAATCTTACCGAATTATATGATAAACGACTACAATCATCTGAAATTAATAATACAGAAACTTCTGACTGTTTGATGACTGTCAAATTAGTCAGTAGATAATTTGCCAGTAAATTGTCAGAGCTCGAAATCAAGTACAATCATTATTCGAATGTAAAATTTTTCAGAATGAAGTAGACAATTTTGGGTATGTTCATTTGCTGTAAACCAGAATGATCTACGATTTTTAGTTCAGCTGCCTGAATGTGCCCGAATTTTCATCTAGAGATGAACACATGGGCACTTTCTAAAAAAAATAACAGCACCCAAAAATGTCAAGTAGATTTACTCAGTAAATCCCATTCAATTCTCATATAAAAAGTATAAACATAAATTCGAAGAAATATGATTCCACACATCAAATGACAAGTTGAAGAAGTAAATACATAGTAAGAATTCTGAATAAACGTCTGCAGTGATTATGCATGAGAAATCTACAAAGTATTGTGAATGACTTTTAATAAAACTCAGATAGTATTGTTTTTGTTCCCTTGTCGCCCAGCCTCGAAGTGTATGCACAAACAGTATTTATATATTCTAGCTATGTAAGTCCAGTCCAAAGATGAGAATATTTTCCCTATACAGGGTATTTTCAATTCGACCCTCACCATTGGGATCTTGGAACCGTTAAGGATATGAAGTCGCTTAAATACGGGCAAAGTTGCGTATTGAGATAATCAGCAATATGTCGCTTAGAAAGTTGTGAAATTAAAAGAACTTCCGGAAGGAAGGAAGGAAGAAAAAACGAAATTTCCCAAAATGGTTTTACTTTTCTCCTGACATTATTTATGGTGGGATTTCAAAATAAATTGCACATCAACTCTGCCACATTTTCTCCTCTATAAGGCCCAATTCGTCTCTTGGCCTCCAGCATCAACTTAATTTTTTCTTATAGACGCAATATTGGATTCTTACACACATGAATAGAATGTTTATTCTGATTTAAAAAAATGTATACTTAAAAACTTAAGTTATTCCAGAAATTCCTAGGTAGGCCTTGAAATTATCAGATTTCGTTTGTTTGCATAGCAACAGAGTTTGAAAGACTGTGAAGACCTCTGCTTATTTATGGTTATTACTATTATTACCATCAATAAAATTTTCATTTCGTATTCAGGTTTCACCATATCTTTATATTTCCTTATAATTTTCATCTAACAACAAATGTATGGTCAACTAACGAAGTACATCACTGAATTTAGGGCTGAAAAGTCCATTTAAATGTACAAAATTCCAATATAGTGTCCGTATGAAAAAGCAAAATTGATGATGTCGAAAGAAGAAATGTCGAATTGAAAATTTGACTACGCCATCTTGTAGACGAGAATAAGTAACAATAAGAATATACAATTTATTTTAAAATCCCATGTCAGGAAAAAATAGAGCGATTTTGGGATAAATTTGATGAGCGAAACAAACATCTGATAATTTCAAGGAATACCTACTTTTTTTTGAAGTAACTAAGGTTTCGCAACTTCAATGAATTTTTTGAATCAAAATTAAAAAATCTATTCATCTGTGCAAAAATGCAATATAGCGTCCTTAAGAAATAATAAAGTTGATGCTAAGGACAAGAGATGAACCCGTCATATAGAAATTGTGATTATGCCTTCTTGTAGAGGAGAAAACGTGGCACTGTTAATGTGCAATTTATTTTAAAACACCAATATAAATAGAGTCAGGAAAGAATCAAAAAGATTTTGGAAACATACAGTTTTTCCCTCACTCTCCGGAAGTATGTAGTCTGAATTTCGAAACTTTCTGTCATTTTGTTAACTACCCCATTTAAGAGACTTCGTATCCCTTACAGTTTCCAAGATCCCAATGGTGACTGCCAAATTAGAAACACTGTATATGCAGACTCTCACTAGAAGAAAGAAGTAAAAATACTACAAGGATTTAATAACGTCTTTGAATAATACAGGGTGTTATACACTAAAAAGCTAAAATAGCTGAACATAACTACAATTATCAAGATCTGCTTACATAGCTATAAGTTTCATAGAGTTCAAAACATGGACACAAATAACTAAGATTACGAAGATACATACAAGTAAGACTTAAATCGAGTAATTTCGCATTTTGCAATAGCAACAAAATTTTTCAAAATATTAGTGTTCACAAAAATCGTATTAATTATGGCTCTTGAAAGTTATGTCCTCTATTGTTCGGATTTTTAATACTGTATTCATAATCTTCATTTTGCCATTACCGGGTCAGTAAACAAAATATCGAGCACAAATTACTTTGGCGCTGGCTGATATTTAATATGGAATTTCATTAAAATTTCTTCTGCCACTTGCTCACCCGAAAATGCTACAAAAACTTGTTTCTGTTGAATTGTGGCACTGTTTTCTCTACAAAATTCAGGTTTTTGCATTTCATTCTCTCCTCAATAGATCTTCAA